TCCTCTCTTTGGCCTTGTTTCTGATCCTCCTTGCGGACTCGAGCGTGTGTTGACCGTGTGTTGACTCTCCTGATTGCCCCTTCGCTGGGTGCTCCCACTGTGCTTGACCCCGGTATCGGGTGATGATGCACCGTCTTTCTTTCCTACCTTCCTCCCCCCCCACCCCTTTTTCTTTTTTTCTTTTTTTTTTTGGGGGGGGGGGGGGTAAATTTTGACCGTGAAGCTTCTCCTCCTTTCTGTTCGCTTGCTATGGCCTCTCCCCTGGTGAGCACGCTGAACCCCTCGTTCGTGTTAGTCACTCAGATTTCCTCTCCTCGTCGTCCGACTCTTATCGGTCTTGGTTTTGATCTTTGTTTCGTTGGCCTCCTCTTCGCCTCTTAGCCTTCTTCTCTCGGCGAACTGACTCCCTTGACCAGGGCGTTTTCAGGGATTAACCCGTGACGTGTCCTTCTTGGTTAGTCCCCGGCTATGGTGCGACGAGGTGGTGTAATCTTAAGTCTTCGGCAATGTCCCGTATGCTTTATCAGGGCTCAACCCTTGATGGTGCAGTGATGCGCGCCATCCTCAGGGCTCAACCCGATTGCGAAATTTTGGCGATGGCCCTTCGCCTACGTGGTCCGATCGCGTCAGTCAGCGATGGCCCGTCGTCGGCGTTACCTCGCGACTTCGCGACAACGCAGCGTGCGTCTGGTTTGATTTTGGTTTGGTTTTGGTTTTGGTTGGCTTTTATTCAGTTTTGGTCTAGTCTGTTTTTTTTCTGGTTTACTTCAGGTTTTGTTTTGCTTTTGCTTTTGGTCTGGGTTGGTTCAGGTTTGGGTTGGCTGGTTTCGTTTGGTCTGGTTTTGTTTGGCTTTGGTTTTTTTTTTTTTTTTTTTTTTTTTTTTTTTGAACAGAACGTCATGGTTCTGGCTCCTACCATTCTGGGGAGCAACAGTCCGGTTCCTTTCCCCCGGCAAGTCCCTAGGAGCTACATAAGAAACACACACACACTCCCCCCCATTATGGCTGGGAGGCCCGTGTGGACGACATTGAATACTTGCCTGAGGAAGGATGTACCACCCCTCACCCCTGCCTAAGTTAGCCTGTACTATCTCAGTTTGTCAAACCATCTAATCCCAGTTCTGCTCTTCTCAGTGTTGAAACTGTCGGGTAGGTGTGTTTTACCAGAGTGTTCTGGGACGGGTATGATTCCCTTGAAAGGTTTCAAATCTAACTCCTGTTTGTATAAGTCCTAAACTGTAGACCCTCGGTTATAATGATGCCTTGATTTACCAGTTCCTAGTCCAAGAGATAAGACCTGTGCTATTCCTCCGCTCTGAACCCCAAAACTCTCTACCTCTCTGTCCGCTCTTCTAAAACCCTAAACCCTACTGTCCCCCCTGACGTGGAGACCAAGTCCTTTTTTACGTGAAACCATAATCATGTAAGACCACTAAGCTGAATTTATGTCTGCTGAACTGTTTTGTGATTGTGCCATTTCCAACAAGGCAAGGACCGTGGATCTGTCTCTCCCTTGCTGTTCCTCCCTCCTTTTCCAAGACAATCGCGGGGGGTCACCTTGTATTGTGCCAAGTTTGCCCGTTCCGAGCCTGTCCTTAATGAATTTGTCTATGGTTATTTGCTTTTTTGTGGGATCGTCCTTGATATTCTTGTTTGCTCGGCGCCAATCTGCCTGGTATTCCGTGTGTAGAAGTTGAAGAACATTCTCCCAGGCCTCCCGGGTCGATGTATTTTGGTGTGCTATTGTTTGTTTGCATTGAGTCTTCCATATGATCCACAGTGTAAAAGGACAAAGTCTTCTGAAGAGGGTTCAATTCTAGACTTCTCTGAAACTTGGTTGTTCCAAACCCGTCAGGAGTGTCAGTAGGTTGTCCGGTAGCGATGTGCCGACTAGCTCCAACCAGTACGCCCGTGTTTTGTTCCAAATTCTGTGCGTTAGAACAGTTGATCAGACAGTGTAGCACATCCTCGAGGGATCCATCATCGCAGACTGCGCAGCTATCGTCGAAATCTCTTCTACCAGTTCCGGACCCTTCTCCTGCTGAGCCATGTGTTGACCGGTAAGGCCTGATAGTATACAAGCCATTGCCTGGTTCTTATACAAATATTTCTGATGGCGAGGGGGACCTGCCAGTCAAGCTTATCGGTGTTGCCTAGGCACCTTGGAACATATTTCTCCCAACGCTGGGACAAGATGAGCTCTGTGTTCACTGCATTACGTCTAAGTTTATAGCCGAAGCTAGTCGAGTAGTCTAGGATATTGGTATGCTTCTGTGCCCCCGTTGGCATTGCTCTTGTTTCCCATGCCCACTCTGCCGGATCAAACTCCAAATCTTGTAAGGCTGTTCCCGACTGATAAGTTCTGTATTCTTCGTCCTTCACCACTCTGATTTTCCTGAGGTAGGACGGTTTGGCTGTGACTCGGGCACGTGCTGTTTTAGAGACCCCGCTGATGTTGTTTCCTGGCTGTTGTATGTCGTGAATGGTCCATAGTCCCCAGTCCCCTGCTGGGCCTGTTGGCTTTACGTATGGCAATACTTCTGTGGGAGTGTTTTGTGACTTCCACGTAGCCCAATCCCCTGATGTCCAGGCGGGGAACGCTTGTAAGAGTGCCACCCAGTCCTGTGGTATGGATTGTAACATCGCCTGCCTATTGTCCTCCAAGTTGTGGCATCCTTTGAGAGTTGTTCTGAGCTCCACTGTTGTCTTCCAACGATTGCAGTGATGGTTCCAGATGTGTTGAAGTTGCCAGACACCCTTTTCTAGCCATGTAATCCAGCGGGTATCCTGTGTCATCAGAGTCCATGGTTTATCGGAGGGGTCTTTCAGCCATTGGTTGCAGAAGAGGGGCTGGTGCAGGACTTCCTCTCTGTTTGTTGGACTTCGAACCTTGGCCCGGAAGATCTCTCTCCAGATCCTGATGAGATATATCCAGTACTCCAATCGAGTCGGCGGCTGCATGTTGCACGTTGCTACGTTGCTGCGAGTCCCCCAAGACTTCGACACTACCCAGAAGAGCCCTTGCATGTTGGACGGGGAGGTGGGTTTAGGCAGCTGCCTGATCCTGTTCAAGGCCAACGTGGTCCAGGGGAGTCGTTGTTGTAGTAGTAACTTGACAATCCACTTCGTTTGAAGGGCCTTGGTTCGAGTAGCCGGATCAAGGACTGCCAAACCACCTTTACCCTTTTGTTGGATGACGTGCGACCAAGCCACCTTTGTTATGAAGCGCTGTGTCAGAGGATTCCCGGTCCATAAGTAAGCGGTCGCTCGCGGTTTGAGGGCTGTGACCATGTTGCCTTCTGGTGTCCAGATGGTGGCTTCATACCACAACATGGAAAAAATGGGGGCGTTAAGTACCAGTGCCCTTCCGAAGACTGACGTGTAGATGCTGGACCAGGTGTCCATTTTGCATAACATCATCGTCAGCATCTCCGGTGCCATGGCCTGGTCTGGTCTGGAATCTGCAAGCTTGATTCCCAGAAAACGCAGGGGCGTTCTCGGATTTTGCCACTCGAACCCTATTGGGGAAACTTCATGGGGAGGTTGCCAACTGTCTGCCAGACACCAGTTCATGGTCTTGTGCCAGTTGACTTTCATTTCGGAGGCCAGCTGGAATGCTTGCATAGCTCTGATAAGTCCCTGAAAGGAAGCCTTGGAGGCCTTGATGATGGCTATGAGATCGTCCGCAAAGAGTAGTGTAGTCGGAAGGGCCACCGCATGTGTGTGGAGAGTCGGTTCGGCGACCAGTCTGTCAATGGACGGATCCCTTCGCAGAAAGGATGCTATCGCTTCCATCGCGAAGAGAAACAAGGGTGCTGCGGCTTTGGTTTCGGTTTCAGTTTGGCTTTGGTTTGGTTTTGGTTCAGGTTTGGTTTTGGTTTTGGTTTGGTTGTGGTTTTGGGTTTAGGGTTTGGTGGGTAACAGGTTAGCACGTCAAAAGCAAGATAGAGTAGGTATCACCCCCGACCAGATTGATCCTTAAAGAATTGACTGATTTCGAGGAGCCCCTAGAATGCTACACACACACACACACACACACACACACACACGCACACACACACACACACACACACACNCACACACACACACACACACACACACACACACGCACACACACACACACACAGAGAAAGAGAGAGAGAGAGAGAGAGAGAGAGAGAGAGAGAGAGAGTGAGGGAGGCATTCGTTCCTTTAATAGTGCATCCGTTAAATAAATGAATTCTCTCTGATTTATTTTTTTCCGTCTTGCAGCCAATGCCACAGCAGGTCATCAAATATCGATAGTTCACATACATACTATGGCCTTCCCCAATTAAATGGTGATGTTGTTTTCTTGCACACCTACTTGTACCATGCTGACACTGTGTCCATCAGGAAAGAAGAGTAGCTCGGAGAAAAAACAGCTTGCCACCAGTCATTGCTTTTTTTTTTTTTTTTTTTTTTTTTCTGGATTTACCTGCTTACGTCCCTCCCTTGCGTATGATCACATTACAGCCGGCATTTGGCTGTCCACTGAGCCCTCAATTTGATATGGCCTCACCAGTGCCTGTTTCCTTTGGCAGAGGTCCCCGGTTCAGAAGTACTTCACTTGTAATATGCTTGGTAGCACTCAGTCACAACCTCAACCCCCCCTGATTTCAGCGAACCAGTTATTTCACCGAACGTTTTCTCTGTTTTTTTTTTTTCCCTCTCTTTCTGTCTCCCTGTCCCTGTGTCCCTGTGTCCCTCAGTCGGTCGGTTGGTTGGTTGGTCGGTCGGTCGGTCTGTCCGTCCATTCATCCGTCGGTCGATCCGTTGGTTCGTGGGTCTGTGAGTCCATGTGTGTGTGTGTGTGTGTGTGTGTGTGTGTGTGTGTGTGTGTGTGTGTGTGTGTGTGTGTGCGTGTCCGTGTGTCTGTCTGTCTGTCCCTCTCTTTCTCTCTCTTTTCTTAAGTGTGGTATCTCTCAACTTTCTGAGGAATTTGGTTTCTGGACCTGTGGCCAATTGTCTTGTTTGGACAGCGTCGATGTCACTGGAAGCGATAACAAGTGCCATTAGATCAACCAGTGAGGGACGCCTTATGACCATGGATCGGGTCAGGTCAGCGCTCCAGCAAATGATAACTGACACCAGCCAAATTATACAGAAAATGGGGGAGGGCCTTGGAGGGGCGCATTATGTCATCAGTATCCTCATTATCGCCTGTCCACAGTTCTTTAATTTTGCTTCCTCGTTCTCTTTCCCAGCTCCTCGTCCTGCACATCGTCCTCCTACTCATAATTGTAATGGTGACCATCGTCCCTATTTCCTCTCCAGAGTTGTTGTCATTGTGCTGTTGACCTCCTTGCCCTTCTTTCTTCCTTTCCTCCTCCTCCTTTCTCTTCATTTTTTATTTTTTGACTGTTCGGAGTGTCATGTCTTCACAACAGAAAAAAAATATCTCTGCCCTCTCAATCTTTGGTGCTCAGGGATTCTCTCTCAAGTTACTCTTCGGAGGTCGGAACAGTCCTCTTGATAAGTTGATATCATTCCCCTTTTTTTTCCCTTTCCGAGCGAGCGGTGGGATTGCTTTCACAATGGTTTGGAATTTTTTGCAGTTCGATCTTCGAACTTAGAGATGTGACATGTGTCTTTCCTTTCCCTTCTTTTCTTTGTTGTTAAGAACTTAGGAGGATGTTTGTTGAGCAGGGGTTGCATTTTCATCTCTGTGAAACCGTGTACCATTTGGTCCGACGCTTTGGAACCGTGTACCATTTGGTCCGACTCTTTGGAACCATGTACCATCTGGTCGCTGGCTAGGTGCATATTGTGCCATTCCTTGACTTTGTAAATTCCTCAAGATTTGCAGAGCATTGTTCGACTGATGACTATGCAAGAGGTATTGCACAGTGATCAAACCTCTACCACCATGCATGCAAGATGGTTGCGCTTCTTTAATAACCATGCATAACACAGTATTAAGTTACTATTAACACTCTATGGGCCTGAATAGATGTGAATGCAGTTCTCTCAAATGCCATGGAACTCTTGTCATTGCTATTCTTTCCTTTGAGATTTGGACACACTTAATTTTTTTTTTTCTGGTTTCACCCTGAGGGAAGCCCCTAAGATTATTGTATTCATCTGATCAGGGTTCAACCTCACTATCCATCTATCAATAGCTGCATGCATGTGCCATTCCGCGCACAAGGCAGGTACATGGACACATTTATTCGTGGATGGCTTCCCAAATGTTTAACACGGCAAATGAATACCAAAGGTGGTTGCTTTTGTAGGTTTCTGAAACGATTTAAAAAGGCCCTTGTCCTAGTCGGAGGAATCATGTTTTGGTATTTTTTCTATATGATGTAGATCTGTATAATGGCTTCCTGCCCCCCATCCCCCTTTTTTGTGGAAATTGACTGGTGCTTGCCAAATAGATTGTCATCTCGAGAGTATCACATTGCCTAACTGTATTCATGACCTCTCCTCTTCTGACTATGCAATGCAGATTTAATAACGAGCGAATGTTGCTCGTGATGTAGCTATCATTTTGAATATGGAGTTTATTCTCGAGATGTATAATCTATCTAGCAAGCGGTTCTTAGATGAATATACACATCGATGTTGGAGAGACTCAATACCCCAGCAGCTTGGTCGGGTCATTTAGTTTCTTGCTTGCTTTGGTGTATTGCCAGGATTGTGAAAGGATATGTTGTTACGATCCTGGCCAATTTCGAAGTACACATTCATCAGATAGTACAATGCCGTCCAATTGCAGAAAGAAATGAATGAACTTGAGAGGAGAGAGAGGGTAAGAAGAAGAAGAAAGAAAGAAGAAGAAAATGATGTACACCAGCATAGACAAATGATCATGCTCTTCTTCTTTGCCAAACACTGTCCTCCTCCCTTACTCCTCCTCTCTTATTCACACAAGAAATAATAGTACAATGTTGAATGGCTGAACCGGAATCAATGTCCGAATCCGTCTTCTACTGCGGGTATCACTTGAGGTCCACCATAGCCATGGCCGCCTCCCTCACTCTTCACTCTCATAGGCCGAGGCTTTGGCGGACTACTTGGGCCTTCCCCTGATGTCCAAAGGACAACCCAAAGCAGCTATGGCTGCTCTAGCTCAGGCTGCCATGCCTGACTCTGTCTCGAAGCTTCTTGGTGTAGCTCTACCCCAGCTGGGGCCTTCCTGCTGCAGCGCCCACCAATGTGATGAAGATGGCTGCCACCATAGCCAGGTAAGTACCTCTGGCGCTCCCCCTTCCTCCTGGTCTTCTTCCTCCTCTGTGTCCTTGCTCCTTCCCCAGCAGCGCTGCTCCAGCCAGCGCTCCAACCAGTGTGTTGCCAAACTTGCACACTGACAATGAGGCTGGGCTCTTCGCCCGGCCTGGAGATATAGCGGCCTGCTTGCCTCTTGGGCGGTGACTTCCAGGCCGCTTGGCCTTCCAAGCAACCGGTACCTCCTCCCTTTCGGAGGGAAACATCATTGCAGACTATGATATTGCCCGTACAGGCCCTAGACTCAGAATGGTTGGACTGGTACCCGCCTAGACCTAGCCTACAACTACTGGGCCTCTAAAAATGCCACTTTTGTCTTCTTCTGCTTGGCCTCGAGTACCCGGCACATCTACCTCTTCAGGGTGTGGTACCAGCCTACCTGCTACTTGAGTGTTTTCCCCCGCTGCAATCCTCAATGTCACGGCCACAGGTAAGTACCGGCCCTGAGGGCCCAACGAACGAACAGGTGCCCTTGTGGGTCACACACACACTCAAGCCAACCAGCACTCAGGCAGACATGCAGACCAGCAAGCATGCACACACACAGACATGCAGAACTTAGTAGCAAGCGGGAAACTCAGCAAGGCATTCAGTCCATGAGAAGAACTCAGAAATCAGCTGTGTGTCTCAGTCCGTGTTAGGTCGGGTCATCACAATGTTGTCCTTGTGCCAGTTTGCTCATGTGAATGCATGTTTCATGCTCAGTCATAACTCATCGAATGGCTTTCTTGTCTGTTTCTTGGCCTGGTGGTAGCTGGAAGGAATCATTGCAAATCGTTTTGGTTTATCGGGTTGCCGTGTCTTTAGGCTTCTTCTCATGAAGAAACAGTTGGAGCAAAAGCAAGTGAGTTATTTTCAAACCAACCTTCTGTTCTTCCTGTGGTCCTCTCTCCCTCCCTCCTTCCCTCCCCACTCCCTCCCTCCCTCCCTCCCTCCCTTCCACTCCACCTCTGTTCTTTCTCCTTGCCTCTTTTCCTTCCTTTGCTTCCTTCCCTTTCTCCATTTGCCCATTTGTTTCTTCATCATTCCTTTCTCTTTTGTTTCTTTGCTCCTTGCTTCTTCCCCTCCCTTTTTCTCTCATTCCCTCCCTTGTCTTATCCATCCATCCTCTTCCTTCCCTCCTCCTCCCCCCCCTCCTTTCTTACATTCCCTTCGGTTCCCTCCATTCCCTTGCATGCCCTTTCATTCTCATACATTCCGTTCTGTTCTCTTCCCCTTCCTTGCCTCCCCTTTCCCCTCCTTTGTTTCCCTTTCCTGCCCTCTCCTTGCCTTCTCTTCTCTTTCCCTCCCGCCCCTTCCCATCTCTTTTCTTTCCCTGCCTTCACTTCTCTTCTGTTCCTCACCCTTCCATCACTTCCCTTCCCGTCGTTCCCTTCTCTTTTCGCCTTCACGTTCTCGTCCCTCCGAAAAATTCGTTTGGGCCATTTCTCAGTCCCAGCGTGGGTGATCATATCAACTGATAGGTCCAGACGTAATGCCCTTTTGAGCAGCCCTTGTCTGCCTCACAGGCATCAAATCAGAGCTAGTATCGTTGGCTACTGCTCTCTGCAATGACCCCGAGCTTCAAACAACATCTCAAACCACCCTGAGAGCACACTTCATCACATGAAGTTGAAAGCCAAAGCACATTAGACATCAGAACCTCAAAAAAATTGCCTGGAAGTTGTCTTATAACAAGTTTGCTTACACCAGCTGAGCAGCTATGGCTGTTGGCAGCCCCTATCAAGAATAATCTCTCTCTCTCTCTCTCTCTCTCTCTCTCTCTCTCTCTCTCTCTCTCTCTCTCTCTC